TTAACAGGGGGTATTCGGGTTTAGACGGCTGATTTTTCAGCCGATTTCATGGTTTCTTTTCTAGGCAACAAGAAAGGTTACAATATTGGTGCTTTGTATATACCTTTATTCATCTGTTGGCTGTATAAATTAGTAATAATGGTTAAGGCTTGAAATGTTTAAAACATTCAGAGTTATGTGGCGTGACTTGTCCTAAGATTGGCGTACTGGTCTAATATTTTCTATTGGCCAGAAAAAATTGAATCGAGCAATTTCTTAATTCTCAAGAGTGTCTCTATCGCCCTAATTACGGTCATAAATTTAAAAAAATCTACAAAATGGCAATGGGGTAGTCAAAAATATATTTTTTCCTGTAATTTCTGTAAGTTTCAGATGGCAAAAAAGCAGTTTTGAAAATATTAGCCTGGTTTCGGTTAGGACGATAGCAATAGATGTTCTGAGTATTCAGTATAAAGAGGAAAGCAAGAAAATCTTGGGACAGTGTTTGAAAACTTGATTTCGAGAGAAGCGCGTTTGAAGATTTTCAAAAATCTGCATCAGGGATGGTCTTGAGTTATTTAAACTCTCATAGCTCTTACAATTTATCCAATTTCGAAAAATCGATCGACAGACATATTGTCCAAGTTACAAAAAGTGTAAAAATACAAAAAACAGCCTGTATTATTTGCGTGTATGTTGAAAAGTGACTTCAACTATAATGCGTGTTACAATTATTCTGGCAATATCTGATTTTGTAACAACCGCCAGATACATAAGAGGATCCCACCAATTCACGATATGGAAGTCTCTTTTCTTCTTCGTTCGCTGGGGTTTTTTCAGCTTAACATTCGTGTCGATTGCAGCAGTGCCTGGCTTTGCGTCGGCCATTCCAAGTGGTTCTTATAACATCGAATTTAAATTCTTCCGTGTCGGTTCTACCCGTTCTCTGGAATTTATCCTTCTTCGTGTCCCAGCGTTTCATACGAGATTTTTCCACCGCCATGGCGTTCGGTATCGCGTGACGCATTTCATTGTTTCGAGAGTCATATTCTTCAACGATCTTGATGCGGAGAGTTTCTGGTGTCGCGTCGGTAGTTCGACGCGTGATTCTATGGCACACCTGAACGGTTCGTTTGCCGGCAAACTGTACAGTAACATGATTGCTAACAGATCCGAATCGATCTTGACTTCCATTTCTTCTAGCTTGCCTACGGTGGCGAAAAATTCACGAATGTGTTCGCACATATCTTCGCCATCTTGCAATATGATGTTGCATCAATTGTTTTAATAGCATCGCTTTGCTCGCTAGACCTTGTTTTGACTGACATACACAGTATGTCGGAAAAATAACGGAACTTTTTAAATTAAAAAAAAAAAACGATTAGTTATTTTGCCAAAATTATTCCTTTTTATTCAAAATACATCCCTTCCGCATCAATACACCGCTGGGAACGTTCAATCAATGCTAGCATAGATATTTTTATGTCGTTTTGCGGAATCGCCTCAATGACCTCGTCAATTGCCTCGTCACGGCTTCTTGGACTTGTGTAACACTGTCATAAAATGTTCCTTTCGTGGCCAGTTTGAGTTTTGGGAACAGGAAATAGTCACACGGAAATAAATCAGGCGTTTGTTTTTTCGCCAAAAATTCACGAACAGCGATGGTTCTGTGACGGTCCACCAACTCATCGCGATTTTTCTTTTTTGGCCGGCCTGGCTTTGGGTCGTCTTCCAAAGCATCACGACCGTCCTGGAATCGCGTATATCACTCGAACACACGTCTACGGGATAAGCAATCATCACCATAAACTTTTTTCATCAATTCAAATGTTTCTGTAAAAGTTTTACCGAGCTTGAAACAAAATTTAATATTTGCTCTTTGTTCCATCGTGTTTTTGTGACGAGGTGACAAAAGGTACTGTCACTTCAAGCGCTATAACTTGACAATCCGTTGATCGATTCCAGTGATGGTGGTCTCGTTTTGTAGAGGAGATAAACAGCTTTCAGATTATATATATTTCAATAGATGGCGTTAGCAGATTTCTTTAAATTTAAAAAGCTCCGTTATTTTTCGGACATCCTGTGCATGTACATACGTATTTGTTCCAATTTAAGCCACACTTCTCGCAAAGTATTAAGTCCTCTTATTTGTTTTAATTCTGAGGGATCGATCGATAGAATTCGATACGAGTTCCTCTACGTGTTAATGGCGGCTATCGAAGTTGCATTATGTTCTATTAATTCGGGCTTCGGACACGTACTACTTAGAGCCGTTACGCACTGTCGACCAGTCGCCGGCGACTTGCTCAACGGAAGACCACAAATCAGGCAACTAAACTCGACGATCAAACACAGTAACTCGAAAGTTGTCAGTGTCGTTGTATAAATTTTTCTGTATTGCAGCTTATCATTACGTTGCCTGTCGTGTGAACGCGTGCATTTGATTCAATGCACTTCATTTATCGCCGCGTACCAGCGAGTTGTCCGTGCGTCACTTGGGTTTTCATGGTCGCCGCGACCAAGTGCGTACGAGCTCATATATTCTCTTAAACCTATTGGTTACCGACGACTGGTCGACAGCGCGTACGGCTCTTAAGGTAGAAACACATTACTATCACGTCACGCGAAAGCACGTGGTATCACGTTAAAACTCAAAGCGGTCGTGAAGTGCCGTAGACAGCGTGACGTGATTATAATTTGTTTCCAACAAAATTAAAACAATGAAAATATGTCGGCTTACACTTTTCGAATGTCACATGATAGCACGTGATTTCCATCTACCTTTATATAGCATCTACCTTTGACCCTTGTACGGTGAATGCAGGATCATTTTGACTCAACAGCGATAAAGTCAAAAGTGTTAAGTGTTAAGTCATTAGGATTAGTACGTTTCCAGACCTGGGTCTGGAAATTCCTCGTCCTTTCGCAGCAGTCATAAACTTGGGAGGCCATCGAGCATTTTAAAAAGTGTTAAGTGTTAAGTCATTAGGATTAGTACGTTTCCAGACCTGGGTCTGGAAATTCCTCCTTCTTTCGCAGCGGTCATAAACTTGGGAGGCCATCGAGCATTTTGCTTTCACTTTGAATTTCGATGTTTTTTCTATGGCTATTGTGCACATCTGCATGTCATACTTTAGTTTTCTAGTCCTTTGATTTGTATTTGACCATGCTTCATTAGCGTCGAAACGCTATTCAGATTTGTTACCTGCTGCGCCCATTGTTCGAGACAGGCGTCACTCAAGGGTGCACGGGCACTTGAGAGTGACCGTTGACTTTGGGGCGTCACCTTAGTCAGTTTTCGGTACCTAATGACTGCCAATCGCGTTAGATTCAACCACCACCTTGCCAGTCTTTAAGATGGGCGGAAAAGCTCAACGATTCGCCAACCATGTCACTGCGCGGCGATCATTAACACACACAACGCAATGTTAATTTGGCGTGTGGGAAACGCGTGAAAACTAATCGCGAGATAGAAGAGTACTGCATTATGGAGCGACGAAGAATAGAATCCTAACACTAATTTAGTTCTCTTATTACGATGTATGTTATAAGAAAATCCGTTCTGGAGCCTGCGAAGGAAACTACTTAAGACCAGACCCAGCACTTGCGCGTGGGGGTAACACGCCCCTGAGGTTTCTCCCAGGTCTGTCGGGCAGGACGACGCGTCCTCAATCTTTACAAGACCACCGGACGTATAGCTTGCTGAACGACGCTTAGACCACGCGACTACAGCCTGGTAGAAAATACATACGCGTAAGTACATTTGCGAGAACCTAGAAGCGTTCGAGTAATTTTGGGCCCACCCTATTTTCGACTCGGGGTCTTTCCGACAATATTTAAAAATTATCTGTTACGTACGACTTAGAAAAGGTATTTAAGAAACTTTTTAAGGAGTACATAAAAATGAGACAAATTTATAGAAGCAATATGCATGGTTTTCTAGACGTCTTCTAATCTACGTTATGTCTGATTTAAATGAACAATTTCTCCAGCAAAGTTAAAGCACGTCCTTCGAGATTATTATATTGCTTAGTCCTATCGTGGATGCCTTTTAATAATTTTACAATGCTTGGAATCTATTATACCAAATGACCTTGAGGTAGGTCCTTAAAGTCAAACTTTTTATAAGCTATGGACATATGTATTATAAATAAAACGACTTTAAAACCTTTGAAACTTATTTGCAACGCAATTAATTATACCTGTACACGAGTGTAAAGTGCCTGTTTTAGGGACAATTCGACTATAAGGAAACAAATCGACCGTTAAAGATACAATTAAATTTATATTTGTTTGTAGTAGTAAAAAATGGTTTTATGACATCCTTACAAAAAAGAACTTGTTAAGCTGAAGCACAGTCTAGATATTTCTTAGCTAAGTAATTTGTTACTAACAGAATTTAATAACCGGACTTCTAAATCTGGATTCACATTTTACTTCTTTCTTACTTTTCAGTCATGTGTGATACGAGTAGGAGTAATATGAAAAGGAGATTTCATCCACATTACAGAGAATCACAGTCCAACCACCAGAGATACAATTCCTAATTGCCCGTGGTTAACTA